AAAAAATCATTTTATTGGGGGCTTGTACAACTCTTATCACAATCCATATATCCATCCATTGTGTCAAGCACATTTGTACATTTGTTGCCATCATCATCCTCAAAACATTTTCTTTCTACTTGAGCCCTTGGTATCAGCTCCTCATTTTTCCCCTCCCTCTGCATCACCCACTCCCTCATGAACCCTTGATAATTTATAAAGTATTATTATTTTTTCATTTCTTACACTGTCCGATGTCTCCCTTCACCCACTTTTCTGATGTCCATCCCCCAGGGAGGGGGTTAGATGTAGATTGTTGTGATTGGTTCCCCCTTTCTACCCCACCTTCCCCTTCTCCTCCTGGTATCGCTACTCTCAATATTGATCCCGAGGGGTTTACCTGTACTGGATTCCCTGTGTTTCCAGCTCTTATCTCCTCTGGTCTAGATTTGTAAGGTAGAATTGGGATCACGATAGTGTATGAGTTTAGGTGGGTGGTGGAGGAAGTTTAAAAGAACTAGAGGACAGTTGTATGTTTCTTTGGTGCTATACTGCACCCTGACTTAATGCCCGCTTTTTGATTGAGCTATTTGTATTTTTCCTTATTAAAGTGTTGTAGTTTTCTATCGATTTTTGAAATTAGCCCTTTATTTCATGTATCATTGCTAGAACTTTTCCCCCAATCTGTACATTCCCTTTTAACACTTTTGATGAAGTCACTTGATGTGTATAGATGTCATATTTTAGAAGGTTCCAGTCCTTTATTTTTCCCATTTTAATACATACATTTGAATAATGTTTCATTATGTTCAGTAGCATACTTATGCTTTGCACTAGTGCCCTTAAGTTTGTTTTTCTTTATCAAAACTCAGGGGGCTGTAGGTGCTTGGTCGTATTTCTGGGTTCTCAATTCTAATCCATTGATCTTCATGATTATCATAGTACCAGTACCAAGCTGTTTTGATTACTGTCACCAGAGAATAGATTTTCAAGTCTGAGATTGAAAGGCCTCCTACTATGGCTTTCTTTTTTAATAGTGTTTTATTTATCTTGAGTATCTTTCCTTTCCATATAAAGTTGATGTTACTTTTCCCATTTCTTTGAAGAATTGTGCTAGTATATGGCTCAAAATTGCATTAAATCTGTAAAGTGGTTCTAGTAACATTGATATTTTCCTATATGTTAATCTGGTTGACTAGAGAAACAAATTCATAGACACTCCTATGTGTATAAGAGAGAACTTATATCAAAGAGTGATTGTATATTAAGAAAACATTCCAGTCCAGTCCAGTCCAAGTCTTTAAGTCCGATATTAGCTCATATGTCCAATACCAGTCTGTATATTCGTCTTCAGACTCACACAACACCATGCAATGACGCCAAATGCAGGAAAATCACAGGCCAGTTCCTGGAAAGTCTTGTGGATCCGGAAGCAGTGGAAGCATCTCAGTGCTGACGTGGGTCTCCACTTGGCTCCTCCAGCTCTACGACTCTGGCTCCATCAGTATAGCTCCATGTGTCTTCTCAGCAGGAAAATGAAGCAGAGAGTCTGGGTATGGCCTTCAGTGAGCTATTTATCTCAGTAGCGCCTCCCAATGAGGTCATCAAGCTGTGACCTGATTGATAGGCTAAACTCCACCCCTTTACTCTTAATAGTCTCAAGCTGACACCAGATTGTGTAACTACCGCACTATATTTACCTGTCTGGGAGCGTGGTACATTATTGACTTTTGCATGTCTGGTTTGGATTCTTGTAGTTTCCCTTGTGCAAGTCTTTTGTTTCTCTCATTTTCGTTTTTAAAATATGATACTATTCCATGGAGTGTATGTACCAGAGTTTGCTTATCCATTCTTCCATAAACAGACTTTTTGGTTGTCTTCATCTTCTTGCTATTGTAGAAATCATTGCAATAAACGGATGTGCATGTATCTGCTCATGTTTTGTCCTTTATTCCTTTGGAGTATATACTAAGTGGAGAAATGTCAGGGTCATACCGTATTCCGCTCATATTTATTTAAGGAGGCATCATAATGTTTTCAGCAGTGGCTGTACAATTCTGCAATCCCACCAGGAATGCGTGGGCATTCCCATATTTCCATCTCCTTTTCAGCATTTGCTACTTTCTGCCATTTTTTTTCAGTTGTGCTATCAGTGTCCGATAGTTCACAGAAGATGACATGCAGGCAGCCAACAATCACACGGACAGATGGTCACAATCACTAGAGCTAAGAGAACAACAAATTAATCCAATGATGAGCCACGACCTCACACTGACCTAGTGGTTGTTGTTCTTGTTGTTTTAGGTGCCATCGAGTTAGTCATGACCAAGAGTGACCGCATGCACAACAGAATGAAACACTGTCCGGCCCCGGGCGGGCCTCACAGCTATTCTTGTACTTGAGCCCATGGTTGTAGCCGCTGTGTCCATCCGTCTCCTTGAGGGTCTTCCTTTTTTTATTCTTTCTTGTCCTTTCTGCTCCTGTACTTCTCCAGGTACTGGTCTCTCCTGACAACATGTCCAAAGTATGTAAATGCAAGCTTGCCATTCTTGCCTCTAAGGAGCACGCTGGCAG